GCGCTCGTGGACGGATATCAGCACGCCCTCTCTCCACCTCCAGCTCTTGTTCCTCCTCACCCTGCAGGGGCAACTTTAGGGTGGTGTAGGCTTAAGTCGGGCCTGTCCCCACAGGGGGATTTTCGACGAAAAATAAAAAATACCCCAAACATAATCAAAAAATAATCCAAAAATAGTCTGGGGACTACGTTTTGAGTATTTTTAGACCCTTTTGGGGCATTTTTGGTGTATTTTCATTGTTCGTCGAAAGTCCCTCTGTGGGGGGACACGCCCGACATAAGTATAGACTCAGGGACGACGCCCCTGACCTTCCAGGAGGGCTAAAAAAATAGCACCCGACGTAAAAACCTATCCCAGAGCTATTTTACGTCTTGGTTTTAGGCTGTTTCGTCTCGTTTTTTAGGTTTTTAGGTTTCCAGTGCTAAAAAATAGCTCTCTGGAAGGTCAGGGGCATCGACCCCCAATCACCCATTGATCGCCGATGGGGGCCGATAGCCCCACCCGCCCAGGAACATGCGGCTTCGCTATCGGCGGCCTATGGGCGATGGCATCAGCGATGTATCGCCGATTCTGAGTCGATGTTCACCCCACCCAGGGGACTGCCTCCCCCCCCCTAGCGCTCCTTTTCCTCCTTCTCCTCCCCAGACGTCCGACGTCGTGACTGCTTCATTGCAGGCGTTTTCTCCCCAGGTTCGGCCTCTGGTCGGACGGGGCTGGGACGAGGACCAATCCGTCCCGGAGCGCTCCGGAACGCTCGCAGAGCGCTCCAGAGCGCTCTGGGAAGGCCGCGGCGCCCGAGACATCCTCCAGAGCCGCCGGACCTCAGAGATTCTCGATTGCTTCCCAGACATCCGGCTGCTCCAAATTTTTAGGGGGCGTGGACCCAGGAGGTCTGGACCACTTCCCCGGGACCAGTTTTTCGTCCTGAGTCTTCTGTTCGACGCTCCCGAGGCCCGGCGGGGGCCCCCGGAGGCCGAAAATTGGCAAAAGTCGCTCCAATTTTTTTTTTGCAACGTCGGATCTCAGGGCCCTCACCCGATGGGGTCCTCCTCCCGGCCCTGGGGAGTCTCTGGAGGCCCGCTGCGGGACCCCCGTGGAGCGTGACGGAGCGAAACGCCGGAGACGAGGTGCCGGTCACCCGGGGTCGGGGCCGACGCGGCGCCACTGGGCCCACGTGTAAGTCGGGCCTGTCCCCCTACAGGGGAATTTTCGACGACAAATAAAAGGTAGTCAGAAAATAATCATAAAATGATACAGAAGTAGTCTGGGGACTATTTTTGTCGTATTTTCATGTTTGGATTTTTTTTATTTTTTGTCGAAAATCCCCGTGTGGGGGGGACACGCCCGACATAAGCCCACGTCGCAGGAGGCCCGGGCCCGCCGCAGACGCCGGTGAGGGCGCGGAGGTATATCAGGGCGCAGCGCGGGTGCGAAGGGGGCGCGCTCCTCACGCGCGTATTCAGCCCGCACGGGAAGGAGGGGCCAGCTTCCCAAGGGTACCCTTTGGGCGCCCGAGTTATCCGGGGTAACTCGGGTCCGGGGTAACTCGGGCTTGGATTCCCGAAAAAGGAACCCGAGTTAGCCCTGACCCGAGTTACCCCTGATGATTCGGGGCTCTGGGCGCCCGAGTTATCCGGGGTAACTCGGGTCCGGGGTAACTCGGGTTTGGATTCCCGAGAAAGGAACCCGAGTTATCCCTGACCCGAGTTACCCCTGATGATTCGGGGCTCTGAACCCTCTGCATCCTTGCCTCCTCGGCGCATGCCTCGGCCACGTCCGTGGGCCGCGCCCCGCCCGCGAAGTGGCGGCACGGTCTTCGGAGGCCCTTGCATCCTTGCTGCGCATCCTTGCGATACGGGCCGACTGTAGGCCCTTCCATGGCTGTTCCTCCGGCGCTCCCCGTGCACCCTGTCGCCTCTGGGGCCAAGGGCCCAGATCCCCTCGGGCAATAAGAAAATCATGGCGGGATGGTTTTCCGTAGTTTCGGCCTCTGGAGGCCCGTTCTGGCCCTCGGGACCGTCAAGAAACGACTCAGGATGGAAAACTGGTGGAGGGGAATGGGTCGAGACCTCTGCGGGTCGACGTCCTGGAGAACTCATGACGTCGGGGGCCTGGAGAGGGACCTCATTCCTCCTTCCGCGCTCCTGGTTGGCAGCAGCTTGGCTGTGTGGGTCTTGCTTCTCCCGCCCGCGCGTTCGTCGCCGTCTGCGTGTTTTTCCCCCCTCTCGCCCTCGCTGGGCGGCACAAGCCCGCCCCTGGAGCCAGCGCTGCGGGGGGGCAGGCGCGGACGCTGAGTAAGGCACGCGCGCGGACGGCGGGCCGAAGCTCGACCCCACGCTCTGCACGGGCGGGCTTTGGGGGCCGATCCGTTTTTCCCAGTCGCTGGCCACTCGCACCGGCCGCTGCCTCCTCTGGCACGCCCGCCCGGTGCTGCCAGCCGCGCCGATGGCCCGAGCGGCAGCGGGCCAGAAGGGGGGGGGGGGGCGCGCGGGCGGGGGGATCTCGTTGTCGCTGGCCGCAGGCACAGGGGGTGAGCGTCGGGGGGGGGGGGCCTGGCCAGGCCGGCCCGGAGCCCGTGACCTGTGCGTAAAGGCGCCTTCCTGGCCTGTCCGGGGAGCGCACCGTCTCTACCAGCGCTGGCTCCAAGTGTCCAAGCGGGCGTGGCGAAGCAGTTCAGGACAGCCCAGTCGGAGGCATTGAGGTGCGTGATGTCTGGGCGTGCGACGGTGGCGCAGACGGTGCCGTGTAAGGATGGTGAGTGTGATGCAGACAGCGAGAAAGTCAGAATGGAACAGTCACGCTGGCAATGGATTCCGTGCACAGCCCGTCAATCCGCATGCGTAGCACGGGCAGATCATGCCCCGCCGGGGGAGGGGGGCACACGGACACAACGCGGGATCGGCGCGAGAACTCCTTCAGGCTGCTCGCACCCTGCAACCCGTTCATGGGGAATACGCGCACAGTGATCGGCACGGCAAGGACCAGCGCAGGTGGAGATGCTGCCAAGGCCCGCAGCCAGGGTGCAAGGCAAGGGAGCAAGGCCCTTGCACGCCCACGCGGAGGCAGCTGCAGCGGCATCGGGCTCACAGCTCCAGGATCTGTGGCCAGAGGTAGCAAGCCGAAGGCCCAAAAGTATTGCAGGGGGCACCCTCGGCAAGCCACTGCGCCCCTGCTCCAGGACGAGTGCGGGGGCACGAAGATAATCGCCCTTCGCGCGTCGCGGCCTGGGCCGCGAAGGTGCCCCTCCAGAGGGCGGCATCATGGGGGCGCGAAGACAAGCCACCGCGGGGCGCGCTGCGCGAAGCTGGGTGGCCTGCCCGCCTGCTTGGAGCGCTCGGCTGCAGCTGGGCCTCCCCCGACCCCTCCCTCCCCCCCCCGTGCTCGCCGCCTCGCTCGACGGCGGCCTCGTGGCCGGCACCTGCGACTCTGCGGCAGGACCCGGAGGGTCTGCTATGCTTACGTCGGGCCTGTCCCCCATACAGGGGGATTGTCGACGACAATTAAAAAATGCCCCAAAAATAGTCCAAAAATAGTCCAGTGATTATTGTTTGACTATCTTTGGACCTTTTGGGGGCACTTTTGGGTGTATGTTTCAGTGTTCGTCGAAACTCCCCCCCCGTATAGGGGGGACACGCCCGACATCATGCTCTGCTCGCCCGCCCCGGAGAGCGGCGCGAGGCGCCCCCCCGCGGGGGCGCCTCGCCCCTCTCCTCGCGCTGCGCCGGCCGGCATCCGCCCGCGCCCCTCGGCCCCGCCAAGGGCCGCGCGGGGCCCGCGGCGGCCTCGCCCCTGCGGCACACAGAGGCGCCGCGGCGAGGCCCACGCCTCGCCCGCGGCGCCCTCGGCAGAGCTCGCCCACTGCGTGCTCGCGGAGCCCGGGGCCTCCCACTGCGCCGCCGCCGCGTGCGGAGCGCTTCGGCGGAGCGCCGGGCGACGCTAGGCTCCCCCCTCCTCCTCCTCCTCCTCCTCCTCCTCCTCCTCCTCCTCCTCCTCCTCCTCCTCCTCCCTCCTCCTTCTCCTCCTCCTCCTCCTCCTCCTCCTCCCCCGCCCCAACGCTCCAAGAAAATCGGAGCAGGCAGATTTTGGCACTGTTCGGCCTCCAGGGGCCGCGGGCGTTCAAGCTCACACCATGCACACGTCTCGTTCGCCGCCTCGGCCCACCCCGGAGCCGTTTTCGGGCCCCGGGGGCTCACCGATGAGCTCAGCGCGACCAGGGTAGGAATATTTCCCCACACTGTGCATGCACTAGGGGGGCGTTCTTGCTGCCGTATGGAGAGGCGTGACCTCCAGACTTTCAACCCGTTGCCGCTTCGTTTCCGCCCCGCCGGCGGCCCGTTGCGGCCCAGCTTCCGCCTCGTTGTTTTGGCACTGCTTGCTTTGCAGTGCGTTGCATCGCTGTGCATCGCCCTGCTTTGTACTCCCTGTCATCGATTTGCCCTGTGTTGCACAGCGTTGCATTGCTTTGCATTGCTTCCACAGTTATGATCTGCACTTGTTTGCGCTGGTTCGCACTGCTTGCACGCATATGTATATACGTGCTTTGTTATGCGCTGGTTTGCTCTGCGTGGTGTTGTTTTGCATGGTGTTGCCTGCCCTTTGCACAGCCTGGCATTGCCTTGCATGGCAAAGCATAGTGTAGCATTGCATAGCTCAGCATGGTGTTGTAGAGCACTGTATGTCATTGCATGGCGCAGCATAGCTGCCCGCAGCATGCTACTGCACATATTAGAATCACGTAGCTTTTGCAGCGTTGTATTGCGCTGATGTGCGCGGCATGGCACACCATGCAGCACGGAGCATACGCAGTGCACATAATGGCACAGCAGAGAATTGCAGTACATAACATTGCATAGCGTTGTAACGTGCAGCACGGCGGTGCGATGAATGTTGTCCCACCGCATCTCACCGTACCGCATTGCATGGCGCGTTCCATTATGTCTTGGCATGGCGTCTGCACAGCATGGCGTCACGGAGCGGCGCATAGCATGGCATACCTTCGT